CAACACCAGCGCAGTGCTTGCCCTAGCCAGACCAGCTGACACCCAGTTTTCGTATCGCGGGTAGCGCCAAGATCAACATGTTCCCCTGCAGTAGGACCAAGACCGGACCAAGGCTGGGGAGCTTTAAGTTCATCGATAGCGCCTCTTGTTCGTTAATCTCAGCCACTGATGTTTGAGGCTAACAGAGGCGTCAGCCCACTTCCGCTTTAGTCGAGGTATTTTTGGCCTAGACCAACCTCGCCCCAGCCTTGGGACCAAGACCCGATCGTGGCCGTCGGTCGGAGTTGCGACGCTGCTTAACCTTTCCCTCAGCCACACATGGACTAGCCAGATGACCACTGTCAAAGAAAGTCCAAGCTGGGCAGCGCATGGTCTGGATCAAACGGCCACGGTTTTCGTAGGATTGGAGGTCCAACTTGCTTTCCACTAAACCCATTTCCTCGCCTGGAGGTGCTGGATTGGGTGATCGGCGTTCGGCTCACTCCCCTTGTTCCCCCACAAGAACCCGATCAAGCTTCCCCAGCCCGGCCGACGATTATCTCATGACTCTCTGAACATGGACAACGATTGCCAGAGCAAAACACAGTAGAGATCAAAGGGTGACACGAGAGAGTGGTCAGTTTCGTTGTGCTTTACTGAAGTATCCTCCCTTTTCGGCAGCCAAGCGCTGACACGAGGTCAGCTTCAGTATCTGCTCGAGTTATACTTGTAGTTAATCCGTCTGGGCAATGCATGGCAATGCATGGCAGCCCCGAGAGGTGCTTATTCCAAGCCACCACGAGGTGCACAAGAATCCGTTAATCCGTGCTGTCTCTTTTTGGAGTACTATTGTCCGTAATGGTAACCGAGTCGGGTCGATGCGGGTCAACCTCGCTCTGGATCTGTGTGGTGCCATAGGGCAGCCCTGCCCCGATCCTCAAGGAACTCTTGCCTTTGATGAGCTGCATGAGCATAAAGTTCAGAGCACACTTGATGCCTTGTTGCTCGCCCCGCTTGATGATGTAGCCATTAATGTAGTCGATCTCCGGCTTCTTGCCATGGCGAACATCCTCCCGCATACTGCTCGAATTCTGCGCTGTCCGCCTTGTCACGCCCAAGAATAGCTGCTCAAGTCGCTTGGCAGAGAATCGGTGCTGCACATTGGGGATCCCCTCTAGCTCTGGAAGGCCTCGAATGACGAGAGATATCTCGGCAAGGAGAAGCCTTTGCACAGGTAGCAACTCCTCGTTCTTGAGCAATGCTCCATTGGGGACATCAAGGAGGGCGGTGAGGGGGTTCAAAATGCAATTGGATGACAGCTTTTCCAGCTGCAATTGCAATAGGTCCAGGTACGGAAATGCCGCACATGCCAGGACCGGCGATCTAGTCAAGGTGCGTAGGAGGTAACGTGAAGAGAGTGTCGCAAAAAGTTCCTTGTCCGTAGGGTGATGCTTCTTCCGTTCTTCTTCGGACAACTCCCACAGATGCCGTACTGGCGTCCTTGGCGGAAGCGGGAAACGATCAGCATCTCGACATATCCCCAGAGCTATGGTACCGTAGCCGGCATGGACGACTGTGCAAGGCTGCGACATGTATGATCCGTGAGAAACAATTCCCAGCATATAGGTGGGACGTTCCTGCGGATCTGTAAAGACCTCCCGATTAAGTTCATCTATCTGCCCAAGCCCATTTTGCATGAAACAGATGGTTGTCTCCGCGTTGACACGGTGTTTGACAGAGCGGAGGGCAGCAACAGTGGCCGGCCCCTTGACGGCAACTATCAAGGTGTAGATGTAAAGCTCGCCGGATTGCATCATCTCGCCTTCCTCGACAGGATTGGTCTGTGGCTGATCCCAACGCTTGTCAGGAATGAAGTCCCATCGCGCCTTGTCGTCCTCTCCATAGCCGTTGAAGAGGTCAACATCGTACCCAGTTTGCTCATCGTTGGTCTCGTTTTGCTTGTTTATCAGGCTGATAGTGCGACCACCTCTTTTGAAAACTTCGTATTGCTCTTGTCGATGGATCATGAGGGTGATCGGAGGAGGATTGGGCAGGCATCTCAATGAATGGGCGACCAGAGTTCCGATACTCCCAAGACCGAGAATATGTACACGTCTGGTAAGAAGCTGCTCATTGTCCGGATTTGGCAATGCTGATTCCTCCAGTGGTTTGGACTCAAATATGGGGGTGTCTCCCGAGGGCTCGGGCGACGGCGGATCTCTCCACCAAGAACGAGTTTCTGTCATGGTTCCGAATTCGCGAGGCGGTTGTCTAAGACAGAAGACGTTCTGTGGCCACAAGTCTGAGCGCACGACCTTCGGCCATCTGCGCACTGCCCGAGAGAGGGGGCGAAGAAACAGTCGTTGCGACAGCTTGAGTGTTGATATGGTGTTCACTTAAAGGAATGAGATCGAGTAGGCCTGCACGAAAGGCGAATTTATCTGCCGGAGTTCTGTCCTTGACAGGTCAAGCTGCCGTAACCATCCTGATAAACCACTGGAGAACGATTTGTCTGTTCAGCAGAGAGATAAGGAGTAGTGACGAGTAGCGATGGCGGAGGAACTGAGTTGATGGTGGCTGGCATTGAAGGCATCGCAGTTGGAGAAATCGCAGTCACTCATGCGTGTTTGATGCGGGGGAAAATTCTGCCCCAAATTCACGCGCTGCGACTGCGAGGCGGATGGCCGCAGCATTTCTACACATTCACCTCACGAGCGCAAATTCTCCTTCCCCATCGCGATAAGATGGATACTAAGGCTGTGATAAGACTCGTGGACGAGTTACAGGAGAACCTGGAGGATCTCGAAGACAATCTTGAACCAATCCTTAGCGGCGCGCTCTCTGCCACCACCAAAAAGCTCCCCTTACTCGATCGCGCGAAACTTCATGTCCTTCTCGTCTACTCGATCGAGTCCTTGATTTTCTCCTATCTCAGACTCCACGGTGTCCAAGCAAAGGAACATGCTGTCTTCAAGGAGTTGACAAGAGTCAAACAATATTTTGAAAAGATCAAGCAGAATGAGGCTGCACCGCAGAATTCTGGGCCAACACTATCCCTTGACAAAGACGCCGCTGGAAGGTTCATTAAGCATGCTCTGGTATAGCACCGTATCAATTTGGAGTTCTTAACGATGAGCCTAACCAATACAGGCCGGAAATGAGAAATTCGATCTACAGCGCGCCGAGCGTGAGGCCCGCGAGAGAGTACTTGCGAATAAGAAGCTTAAAGAACTCGAGTCTGCTATGAGGGCAAAGGCGGAGACAAAGGATGATGAGGACCGTACGGCACAAGCTGACCAATTCATCGCAGCCACATTGAATGACGCCCCTTCTACGGATGATCTCGCAGACGGTGACTCTGATAGTGACGGTGACACTGACGGCGACGACGGCAATCCACCCCTAGAGCAGCAGCCAGAGGTGCAAGCAAAGAAGGGGAAAAAGCGGAAAACTAGATCTAAGAGCAAATCACAGAGAGCAAAAAGAAAGAGAGAAACAGATGTTGAGGGTCTCGAGCAACAGGATCAAGCGCAACCGGCAGCGGGAACCAAGGCGTCTAAGAAGGCAGGGAAGAAATCAAAGCGAGCCAAGGATGCTGCTTTAGCTGGTGGCTGAACATCTCTGCTAGTGATAACAGCATTGTCGCTAAGAGACGGGGCTATCCACCGCAGATGGCATCTACATCCAATATGGCACCTTGGCTCTTTGCACATTATCGTCTTGGACGACAGAATGTTCAGGAGATTGCATGCGAAGTCTATGTTCCCAACTATGCATTGGCACTAGCGGGGAGAAATTTGGTGAGACCGAAATCTGAACCTCAGGTTCAGACTTCAGCTGGGAGGATTCCGGAGTATTGAGTCCATGCGTCAGCCTACTCGGGCTGCTGTTGAGATGGTCAAGTATGTGGTGTCTGCTACGCAAAGAAATATGCGTTCAGGGATGAGTTCTGCACTCAGGCTATCACTTTCATGGGCAGAGGTGAGCTACACTGGATTTTTCTTTGGATTGTGAGATTGCATATTGCCTGGTCAGGGTCAATCCGAGAGGTACTATCTCACATCCTTAGAGGCTGGTCTCCTTGCAACAGAATCGAGCAGGATTTCTCCAATCGCATGTCCCTTTGCTTGGCGTCGCCGTGACTTGACATACTGGCTTTACTCAGGGCTTGAATAGAAACATGTTCAAAGTCCATACCCAGCCTCCCCACTACCGATGCTTTGTCACACTGGTCTACCTTTTGTCACTCCGGATCTGCTGACATGTATTCCTGATGCAAAACCTTCTCTCTGTCTATTTTCTTTGTCCTTCCTGTCTGTGTTGGTTGGTCGAGTGCTCGAGCGTCTGCATGAGCACGGTCCAGGCTGCGGGCTCATGTGGCATCTGAAACAGCGGCAGCAGGGAGTTAAGGCTAATCTTGATCTTTAGTCAAGACATGGCCTCGGTGTCAAAAGCAACACTCCCTAGGTTCGGTGAGATGATTGAGCGGATAATCTGCCTTCACGCACCCTCTTTTCCTCATGAGCAAGTCTCGAACCTCGAACCTCGAACCTCGAACCTCGAGATGGTCCAGACAATCTAGGCCTTCTTCCTCTGACTGGACGCTTGGACGCTTCTTCACCGTGCCCCCAAATTCACGGACCCCAGCGAGGCTCGAGGTCTATCTTCTGACTCGGACATCAGCCTCGGTCAACCCCATGTCCAACATGCTAGGCTCGTACTCACCCAGTCAGATGATAGTATCGCAGCAATCGACACGACGTTTATCTAATGGGAGATTCAACACACTCACATGGCAAACTATATTACCGTGCAAGCACTGGGATTGGCCCGACGAGGCTGCCCGGATGACACGTCACGTCCCTACCGGGGAAAAGGTTGAGCCGGGATGGATGGATATACCATTTGTCCACATGTTCTCATATAGGACGGCCGCCAGCCCTGGCATACGATATATCTATCCCCTTGAATGACACCTCCAGGTTCTGGGCGATGCACACAGATTCTGTATGACATGCACGATGCTGAACCTGGTCCTTCGTCTCGTCGCCATCGCAGCCTGTGTCTTTGGGGTCGCGATATGTGCACGCATCAGTGGAGAGGTCTTGAGAGATGACCGAGGCGGCAGCACCATCATCACGACATATATCGACCCTGCGACAGGGCCAGGAGACATCGAAAGAGAAAACCCTAAAGTGACTGCGTCAGAGCAAGAGATGCCGGGAGTCGTCGCCATCACCACCTCGCCTGCCTGGCCACATTTCGACTGGAAAAGCAAAAGCCCATTCCTCACCCGCTTCGTCGGCGTCTTCTTCAGAATCAAGCTGCCAACCAATTTCCTTTAACTGGTCACGATCGCACGCACAGTCTACGAAAGAGTCAGGCTCGCCTACCAGAGCAATCACTTTTCCATTTTCATCTTCACATCCCCCATGGAAGATGGTTGGCAACTAGAGTGAACGAGTGTGTCCGTCTGCTTGAATGATGTATGGTTTCTTTTTTGGAAACGAAATTCATGGACCAGGACAGGATTGGGGTATGGGACGGATGCAACCTAATAAACCTAACCTCTCCTTCCGTTCTCGAAGCCTGGAAAATATCCAACGAAGGAGATTACTGGGGCCATGTGCGGATCCACTTACTTGATCATTTACTCGTTCGAGATATTTACTGCAACCCTTGTTCCGTCTTCGGTCAGTCAACCACTCGCCCGACCAATTTATGTCGGCGAGGACAAAACATGCCAGAAGAAAACCAAGATAAACTGGAAATCCCGATATGGATATATGCCATTGGGCGGCTTTACACCACTCTAGTGGAAGGAAGCAGGAAAGCGAAAAGGCCATGCGCTGAGGATTCATTGATCGATCAGTCCTCTACTCGTACTTGTTGTGCACAGCCTCGTTGGCAACACATATCATATAGGTGATAGATAGGGGCACCAGGGGTAGATAGATACATTACCTACTCACGCAGAGCCTAATCATTGATCCCTTTGTTCATGCTCATGGGAATAGGTTTCTATCGCTACCAGCCAGGCCAGGTTGCCATCCCGCCGTCCCTCCGTCCCTCCCTCTCTCCTCGTATAGGTACCAACTTCATCTTGCAAAGAAACGTTACCTCCGCCCCTCGAAAAGACAATCAGGTACAAGGCCGTACGTAGTGAACTCTCTGATCAAAAGTGTTATATCGATCAAAAATCTCAATCAAATCTCCATCCGCCCTTCAAAAGGAAAGAAGAAAAAAAGATCCGCTTGCTAAAACGCTCAACACCCGTATGGCAAAATACAAGGGGAATTATATACAACAGTGAATACAGAAAGACCAAATCCTAGAAGACCCATTACTGCTTCTCAGCGTCCAAAAGAAAAAAATCGTGCGTAAACAGGATGATCCCACCCAGCTTGATAACTTGAAATAGAGAAAATCATAGTTCTTTTCGTTTGCAAAGATGATGCGCCATGTTATCCAGAGACAACAAAAGCCCCGTTTTATTGAGTTCAGTCATCATTGACAAAAACTGGCATCCATTCCTGCCCAGGGTACGCTGTAGCACTCATTGGAATCTCTTCTTCCGATTCATACCCCTCGGCCTTGGAGCCCGGCAATTCTGCAATTATTCCGGGGGTGGTCTTGTCTCTTGCACTAGAACGGCGTGCTTCCCGGGGCGATGTTGGATCTCGGGATCCCTCCAGAATTGACACGTTGCGTTCGAGGCCCTGGCTCGTGTTGGTGTTGATCTGCTCAGGGTGGCTGCTGGAGTCGACGCTGACGGGCGTGTCGCTCCTCGTTGTTGCACCTTCGATCCGTTCGCGAAGAAGCTGCTTCTTGCGTCGATCGTTTCCATCATCATCGAGCCCAGGAACCGTGATTGCAAAGGGCCTTTCTTGGTCATCGTCTGGACGCGCGATGCCACCAACAGGACTGATCTTCTTGGAGCTGAATGTACCTAACATGTCGTTGACGCCGATATTTGGAGTGCCTCGTGGTTGGCCGGAGTCCAGGTCATCAGAGCCGGGGCGGCCAAGTCGTGGTGAGCGTGATCGTTTGTGGAGGTCAATGACATGCGTACGAGGGTCCTGTCGGATTGAAGGCGTAGGCTGTCCCAAACCAGCGGATGTAGGCCCGCCTGTGGTTGTTATCGTACTGGCTGGGTTTGTATTCGGGGGCGGCGTCGAAGCGAAGGACACCGGTCTCGAGTAGCCCTGTGCCGGGGCAGTAGCGGGCGCGTAATACTGACTACGGTTGCCGCCACTTGTGTCAATGCGAAGATCGGATGGTCGACTTTGATTCAGGTTCATGTATGGATACGTATTGGATGGATACAGTCCCGCTGCTTGCTGTTGACCTGGTGGCAGTGACTGGGGAGGTTGTCCCGGGTATGGATAACTGCTGCGGTCTGAATGATGTTGGTACGGAGTGGTCACATTTGAATACTGAGATGGTTGAGATTGCGTTTGGCTTGCTGGATATGCAGACTGAGAGTATTGTAGATGCCCAGGGTCTTGGGGGAAGTAACCTCCAGGCCCCATGGGATACCGGCCATAAGGGGTGTGCGCGGAATACGGCTCTGGAGATGTGACCCGGTGGTTCTGCGCCGAATATGGTTCAGGTGATATAACACGTTGAGCAGGAACATGATGTCCCTGTGTCTGTGAAGGAGTAGGTACTGTTGCAGCCCGTGTGTTGCTGCTGCTCTTGAAGAGGCTGCCTCCAAACCCTGAGAACCTCTTCTTCTTTCCCTCTGTTCCTCTCTCACCCGTCTCTGGGGTAGGCGCTCGTAGGACATCCTTAGATAGCCGTCTTGCAGAGTGAGACTGAATGCTGGGCGAGCCAAGTTGTCCAAGCTGGTCCTGACGACCGTAACTGCCACTTCTCTCTGATGACATACTGTCATTACGGTGCAGGAAGCTACCACGCTTCTCCTTCTGTACGATTTCTGCGCTGTCAAGTGCAGCGCCGACTCTCCCTTGTTTCTGGAGCTTCGAACGCGACTGGGAGCCAACGCCGAAGAGCTTCCCAAGCATACTCTTCTTTCTCTCTGTCTGCGGACCCTGTGATGCTGGCTGTGAAGACACCGATTGTGCAGCAGGAGTGGGTAGTGGATTAATTGATTGACGATGTTGCTGCACTGACCGACCGTAGGGATAATTCACAGGTTCTCCGGACTTCAGATCATATTCCACATGAGCAACAGACCCAGACTTGTAAGAAGACTCATCCCGGTATCCCGGGCGATTCGGGCCTTCCATTGACATGTTTGAGCTGGTACCAGGATGAGGCTGCGGTGGAATCTGGCTAGGATATTGCTGAGATCTGCGCGCACTGGTTGGTGGCTGTCCGCTAGCTGGTACTGGAGTGTTGCCCCGGCCGCTTGTGGGGGCAGAGACTTGGTTAGCTAATGAATATCTTTGCCCATACGGACCTGGTATGCGATATTGTTCTTCCATGGGCGGCTGGTGTTGATGCATGGCGGCCATTTGATGCTGCTCTTTTCGCTGGCGCAAACGATCAAGCTCTTCTTGGGGCCGCCTTGCACTAGGCAAGGGGTTCTCAATAGGATACGTTTGGGCACGATCCATTTGGGGCTGCCCTGGTACCATCGCACGTAATGCTGGGTCACTGCCGACATTTGGTTCAGCGATGAAAGGCCTAGAATATGATCGCGAATGTCTTTGCCCTGGGTCGTTTGCCTGATCCGAAGGCTCTTCAACACTGACTTGCGACATCTCCTTGCTAAACCCTCCCGCACTGCTTCGACCTAGACTTATCGGGCTCATCGGCTGAGATGGAACCCTACTGAGATCTTGCTCATGTATCTGCTCTGACTGATGGATGGCGCCAATACCTTCAATGCCAGCAAATGAGAAGGGCCGATGGTGGCCAAGCGGGTAGTTCTCGCGGTCTTGCTCATGCTGCGACGCGAACTTCTGGGTCGGTGGTTCAGCAGTAGAGTGTGGCCCTATAGTCGCAACAGCTGGCTTCAAATCCTGTACGTCGGAACGCTCTTGTGTTGATGGAGGAAGACCTGTTGCCATCGGAGGCTCTGTTTGGCCTTCCTTGGTGTCGAAGGATGGTCGAATGTTCGCCACCACAGCCACAGCTGTGGGAGCGCGCTGTTCAGGCTGGGGTATCCGCTCTTCGTGCGCAGCAGGCATTGGATGAGCTGGTAGGTCGTCCGCAGGTGATAGAGACACACTCCTCCTGCCATGTTGACGGTCGGCACTAATGGTAGGACTGGGATCTGCACTGGATACGTCGGAGATGACAGACCGTCGCCGGTGCTGTGGAACTTGCAGGCTCCGGTCGCTGGAGTGGGCATCGGATGCTGACCCGTCGTGATGCTCCGTAAGAGATTTTGGAGCAGCGAGAGTATTTGGCGATAAGCCACGAGAGTCAATAGGACTGACCTGAAGTTGAGCAGCAGGGATTTCCCTCCGGCTATTGCTTCGTTCCACTGGTGACTCGTCCGTAGGTCTGGTTAACTGGCTGATAGAACGGCTAGGCAAGCCATCATCCTCGTTATGCCCTTGCTCGCTATCCAGGGCTGAGACCGCCGGACTAGGAGCAAGTACAGGAGCGACGGGAGTAGCAGAAGATACGCTGCCACTGGCAGATAATACTCTGACGTGCTCCAATCGTGCCGAGTTGATAGCCTGACTTTCATGTGCCGCGGAAGAAGCTGTTGTTTCTGGTTGTAGCATCTGGTCCAGATCACTGGTTCGTGACCTCTTGAGCTCGGGGTTTGAGAACCAATCAATGGGAGAGGCTGGCGTGATGTTCAATGGAATTTGCGGTGGACCATCAAGGGATGTGGAATCTCGTGGCTGGGAAGGGGAGGCAAGATCTTCTCGTTCGTCTGGATGAAGTCCAGTAGATTTTCGTCGCTCGACCAGTGTCCCCTAAAATCAAACGTCAATCAAGGGCTCGCTAAGGAAAGGCAGGCATATTGAAATCGTGGTTTCCATTCATTACTATTTGAAGGTGCCCAAAGGAAAACGCTGTGAAGATGTTCGGGCCAGGTTCTGGGATCCCTGAAAGCATATATTCCCACATAGCATTGATGCATTTCCTTCGTCGCAAAGAGATGATATTACAGGCGAGGCAAGGAAAGGGGGAAGATCAACGGACTACCTTTTCGCCGGAGCTCGCGTGTCGCATCTTCTCTTTTCCCTTAGCAAACAGGCCTTTAGCGGCGGTACCCGCCTTGCCACCGAATCGTCCAGCAGCTGCCATTAGCTTCTTCCCGTCCTCTTGCATGTGTCCAGCTGATTGTGTCAGCATTCGTCGGGGCGACGGTTTGTGTGCAGTAGGGCTCTCAGCCGTGTCTAATGATAGCCGTCCATTCGTAGCAAACAGCTCCAAATTTTCCGGCGTCTTCATCGACAACAACCAATTTCCCAGCTGTTCATCTGGTGTGGCATAGTATTGCCTACTTTCATTGAATGCCTTAATACGTTCTGCCGGTGAACTGAGATTCATGATTGTGCGGAAAGTTGGTAGCCCATCAGGAGGAGGTTGTGGTGACTGGGGCACTAGTGGTGAATGGGGTACCTCTGTAGCGGTCGCGGGAAACGGAGGACCATGCACTGGTTCGAAAGGCTGATCTGAAGACAGAGATGTTTGCCTCGCTATCGGTTGATTGACTTCGACGCTTCTCTGAACGTTGTCAATTGAGCTAGGCACGAGTGGGGTGTGAGCTGTGATCGTGTCTGGAGAGCTTGTAGAAGGCGGGCTCATTTGTTTTGGTGTTGACGCAGACGGCGGTTGTGAGCTGCTTGTCTCCCAGGAGAACCGTTGTTGGAGGAATGGTTTACCCGCTGTTGGTAAGTTCTGTTCGACGGATGTCTCTGTTTGGGCGGCACCTGGCGTATCTATGTTAAGGCTCGGGGGTGTAGCCGCTCCCAATGATGTAGCGGAAGGCTGTGGCGGCAGCTTCTTGGATTCAGTCAATGGTTGACCAGCTTTGGACAAATGTCCATCGTTGCTCGGGATGGTTGCCTGTGCTGATTGGGGGGTGATGACTTGCAGAGGAGCTAGTTTCTTAGACACAGCTTCTGCATCTATGTCATTTTTAGAGGGAGCTGTGTCAGGCAGGTTCCTTTGGACTGCCGTTTGCTCCTCCAGGTTTGACGATTTTGGAGTTAGACTTCTGACGATTTCCTGTTGTAGTCGCTCATTGTCACTCTCAGTGGGAGTCTCATCTGGCACTGAAACATTGGGGATAGGTGGCCGAGGGCTCGAGATTTCAATCAAACGACTTGTGCGCAGCGGGGCTGGCATGTAGTCAACGTCCGAGCGAGAGTCTCCGGCCCCAGCAGACGCGTGAGTCGATGGGGCTGAGCTCGACACAGATGAAGCCCGAACTAGGCTGGTTGCTGGTCCAGAATTTGTTCGTACCACCAGATCCTTTTCTTGCTGCTCAGCTATTTGCTCGTTGTCCTGACTCTCCGGCGCTGGCGCCGGAAGAGAAGTCATTACCGCTTCCGCAGCCTCCTCGCTGGATGAGCTGGATGCGTCCCATTCGTTGTCATTTTCTTCTGTCGACGATTCATCGGAATGTTGCACTTGTTCACTCAGGCGGTGACCAGCTAACGCCCCAGCTAAAGCACTCCCAGCGGATGCCGCTGCTGCGAAAGCTTTTTGTGTTACACCATCGCCACCTGAAGTGATATTTGTAGGTGCACGGGCAGTAGGTATGCTCTCAGTGCTCTCGACCCGTCTCTGGGTAAATGGGTGTTCAGGTGATAGAACATTCCTCTGGCTTTGAAAAGGTGTGTTTGTGTCAGGAGTGGCTGAACCTGTCGATGAGGCATATGATTGCCATCCTCCAGGGATCGAGGGACGAAAACTCTCTAGACGCGTCTGGGGTCCAGGGCGTCCTTGATCCTCACTTGACGGGGGGGGTTGGGTATTTGGGATGTCAAGGATAGATCGGACTGGGCTTGATTCTGGCTTGTCTGTAGCATCACGCACTTCGGTTGTTGGTGATGTTTTCGGGCTGGACGGAGGAGGACTGCCTGCGCCTGCAGAGGCCGCCTCTGGTTTGGGCTCCGCGGGGAGTGGTTTGTCCACCAAACCCAAACCACGAGCTGGTCCTTCTGGGACAGGTCGTTTGGTCTCATCGTCCACAAGTGAGCCAGATTGTGGATGCTGGTGTTCCTGAGGTCCAATTTCTTGAGGCTTCTTTGCAGGACTGTTATCTCGACTCGGAGGATTTACGTCTCGTCGAAAGCCCGAAAGAATAGGGGGTGGCGAAGAAAGCATTTCTTCCTGGATTGGCTGCACCTCCCCAGGCCTCAACGTAATGGTTGACGTCGGACGAGACTCTGATTGCGCCGGCTCTTCAGGAATGGCGGCCTGCACAGTCTGAATAACGGAGGAAGTCGGTATTGGATCAAGTTTGCGACTTATGATAGGACTAATGTCAGTCGTTGAGGCACTGTTTGAACGATCAACAGTTCCTGACGTAGAGGTGGGAGAAAAGGGCGGGTGATCCTCGCTCTGATCGAAGGCCTGCTGGACAACTGATCTGTACCCAAGGGTTGGCTGGTGCTGCAACCCTTGGTTTTTGGGTCGAATGCCATCGTCACCGGACACGGCTCCCTGTGGTAATACATCGCCAGAGGGCTTCGACGTCTCAGACTTGGGTTCTGATACCGACTTTCCCAGTGCTGCAAGGTCCACGTCAAATCCAGATGTTCTGTGGACGAGGGGGAGCCCGAAAGCTTCCTTCGCATCAGGTAAACGATGATCTGTCTCCCGAACACCATCGTTGATTGATACATTACTAGAGATGGTTGAGGCGGAAACTGGATCCGGACGATCAGAGTAGACAGAAGACGCAGTAGTATCCTGCCTCGATACCCCCACGGTTTCCTTCTCAGTCTCAATCTTAGTCTCCTTTGTTGTTTGGCTGTCATCGCTTGATAGCTTGAGTAAATTATCAAACCCATACTCGCTCTTACGCTCCGGGACGGTGTCCAAGGTTGGCTTCAGACGACGGGCAGAATCGTGATCATCCGTTGCCAGCTGCATAGCGCCTGTGGGTTCCTTTGGATCTGAGGAAGTCGAGCGACCACCAACAGAACCTTCTCTGGCTGGGTTTGACACTGAATCGATGCTTGGACGGGATGACTCTTGCGATTTGCGAATTTTCTCCATCTCCTCAGGCATACGCTTATAGATATCGGATGGTCGGATGAATACTGGTGGGGGACGATCGTCGATTGCAGTGGTACTGCCAAGTCCTGGAGAGGAAGAAGGCACGGGAGACTCGCTCTGTTGTGAGAAATCTGGCTGAGGAGGCTGTTGGCTTAAGCTTACTTTGCGCGGAGGGAATTGTCGGTGGGATGCATTGGAAGAACGACTATCCGGCCTCATGGGACTTTCGCGACGCTGATACACGTCGCTAAGAGGAGACCGACTACCGAACCCAGGGGAACCTTGCTGGGGGAAGCCTCCTGGGGCTGAGAAGGGCACATCCTCGTATGCCGGATGTTGTCTCCCTCTCGAGCCTGGTCGGAAACCACCTGGAGGCATAGGAGGCTGTCCCTGGGTGTTGAGGCGAAGAGGACCATGCATCGCATAGTTTGAGGCAGAAGGGTCATCGTCGTGTTGCGGCTCCGGAAAAGGCGAACGTTGGGTTGTGGGGTACGCCGATTCAAAGCCAACAGAAGAAGAGACATATCGTCTTTCATCGCCCCGATCAAACGAAGGCCTCTGGCCTGCTCGAGGAGGGGAGGGACTGGTAAAGCTTCGGTTGGCAGGAGGAATGCCAGGTTGAGGAGCCCAACCTGGATGTCGAGGATTAGGCGCAGACACGGGTTCTGGCTCATCATATTCTTCATCATCTCCCCAATCAGAGCCCTCATAATTAACCTGTCGGAGATCTTTCCATTTCTTCGAGATCGCTCTTCCCACGTTGGTCTTGTATTTCCCGGTACCATACGGATTGGAGGTCGCCATTTGAGGATGAGGATCCGTCTCGGTTGGTCTTGTTCAAAACGGGGAGGAAAGGAAGGTGGGTATCGTCAAGGTACGTTGTAACACATCTCGCAAGCAATTCAACCACAGCGTCTGGATCCGCTCTCCCAAAGGCTGCAGAAGATGTCAACGTTGTAGCAGTATTATGAACGAAGGGATACTCGTCGCACGCGACAGGCGGAGACGATAGATTATTTGCGCGAAATTGGCTGGAGACTGGAGCAAATGGTCGACTGAAAAAGTCGGGTGCTCAGAGCATATCCGAAGAAGAGGATATGAAAGAGATATGAATGGAGTATTAGGCCAGCCGCGCAATGCTGGGAGAGATGGTGGGCAAGAACTTGCGTTGCTCTCCTCACTCTGCCCTATGAATGGACCACGAGGTTGTAGATTTGATTGGCAGAAGCGAACAAGGAGTGTTCAACCTTGCGTCACCCTGAGAACAGACTGCGCCACACTTCTATACGAATCGATTGATGGATTGATAGATGTTAACCACACAATGAGGGCGTGTGTATCTTTCAGAGATCATGAGTTTTGGTTGTTGGGCTTGAAGCAGCAAATTGGACGCGTGTTGCAAGTTTCATGCAGTGCCGCATCATAATACATCATGTGCTCGTGAAATTGTTCTCCGCTTCCTCGCTTTGCGTGCAACACGATACCCACTTCAATAATAACGAACGTTGTTTGATCCGAACCTGTGGCTGAAGTGAGGCTGTTGTGGCGTTGGTTCATCTAGCGGCAAAGCCACCTGGACGTTTCCGGCTGCGGTCTCTTGATGAGGACTGCGAGTTCAATCATCTCTCATTTCAATCTTCTTGTACATGCTAAGTTAAGAATTTGCCTGGTCGCAATACCCTCAGGGCCCGTGTAAAACTATTCCTCCTTCTGCAACTTTCCCACCATTTTCATGTCATAGACAACGGACCTAGAATGAGATCACTGCCATCCATCCACCCTCTCATAATCGCTGCACTGTTCAACTTGTGAACACTGGGTTCCGCGACATTCTCTTTCTTACATGTCATAACCCGATATCGCACATAGATTACCATGGTTTCCACGAGCATCCAAGACCGGACGAGCGAGTTCCGCACAATCCTAGCGCAGGCACAGAAGCGGCAAACCGCCAACAAGGGTGGACCTCAACGACAGTCCCTCCTGAACGATGCGCAAAAAAAAGAAGCAAATGGAGCCGCCAATGGTCCATCAAGGGGCTCCAGGTCAGAATTTGCTCGCAATGCAGCCCAGATAGGGAGAGGAATCACCGCCACAATGGGAAAATTAGAGAGACTGGCGCAGCGTACGTTGGGAAAGCGGTGTTCGGTAGAGCGACCTGCTGACAAGAGACAGTGGCTAAGAGAAAGGCAATCTTCGATGATCGGCCTGTCGAAATCGCGGAGCTCACATATGTTATCAAGCAAGACCTGGCTGGTCTCAATGCACAGATATCCGCTCTGCAACAACTCACTCAGTCACAGCACCCGACCGCTTCCCTGCCCAAATCGGCGGATCAGGAGGGGCAGCACAACAAAAACGTTGTGCTAATGTTACAAAACAAGGTCACGGATGTCGCCGCGAATTTTAAAGACGTCTTAGAAGTGCGCACCAAAAATATCCAGGCCTCGAGGTCGAGGACCGAGAACTTTGTGTCGTCAGTGTCGGCAAGATCGCAACCCCATCTGGATGACTCGAGGTCGCAGTCGCCGCTCTATCAGGGTCCAACGAGTCGGCAAAAAACTCCTCAGGCCTCGTCAAATGACCTTCTGACCCTTGAACCTTCGAATACTTCGACCTTGATGAGAAATACTCCTCAGTCCGACCACCAACTGTTATTAATGGAGGAGGCCCAGCCGACAAATACATATATTCAGGAGCGTGGGCAAGCCATCGAAGCCATTGAAAGGACGATAAACGAATTGGGTAGCATTTTCGGTCAACTTGCAACAATGGTGTCTGAGCAGGGCGAGATGTTACAACGAATAGATGCAAACACCGAGGATGTAGTCGACAACGTTCAGGGTGCACAAAGAGAGCTGCTGAAATATTGGAACCGGGTACAGGGCAATAGATGGTTGGTTGCTAAGATGTTCGGTGTTCTCATGGTGAGTTCGAAAATCCGCTTTGAGTGTCTTCAAGTCAATGCTAACAATGTTTAGATATTCTTCCTACTTTGGGTGCTAATATCGGGTTGAATGAGTGGCGGCAATGCTATTTGTTAGCTGGTTTCCAAGCATATGCGGAGTTTCAGGACTAAATAATGGTAGCCTTACCACAGGAACAGTGCGTGGTAATGAGCGATTGTGTATATATTTGGAAGTTTTACATCGTCCTATCTGAACCGCCAGATTCGACAGAGGACGATACTTTTGGTCAACATCGAGAAGACTAAAATTCCATGGTACTCAAAGTAGGTCTGGAGATTATAGCCGTAGTAACTTATGCAATAGCGCTGCATCAGTGACACTGTAGACAGTAAAAAAAAAGAGGATATTAGTGAAAAGCAGTGCCAACTAGTGTTGATACTGGATGTCCTTGAATGTCGATGGGAAATGAAGTGCAACTGAAAATGGACAGCAGTTCGACATCCGCAAGGGTGGTTGTCATAAGGGCTGAAGCCAGCAAATGTATGTATTCATCTCAGTGTTGTTGTCAGAAAAAGCGAATTGGTGGGCTTCGCGCTATTTGTTTCAGTGATGGGTATCGCTCTCGTCCATGGTCAATCAACTTTTCCAAGTCCACTTCCGTTCGTAACTGGTATTTACAATGAGTCGTCGCCGTACTCTTTTCTCTCTGTTCCCTCTCTTTTCTCGAATTGAATCATCGGGAGTTGATGGAGAACTGGTTCCGTCGTGGGTGAATGAAAGGCGGATATCGTGATCGTGCCCATGCTGTCGATGTCATGTGAGGTGAATCTGTGCGAATGATGCTTCCGATGCCCATAAAGAGTCTGTCGAGCCATTTGGTTAGAGACCATCTTTACAGAGAACGGCGTCAATACACACCCGAACATAGAGCCTGAACCCAGCATATATTTCCCCAAGGTCCTCATTACACCAGCCTGACCTGCGCCGTATTGAAATATCGTCACGGTACCTGACAGCACAGTTAGTGTGAAACCGTAGGACTGGCGCGCTGATCGCGACGGACCGTAGATGAAGCCCATGATCCCTCCAACGGCTGCGAATCAGTCAGTCTTTCGGTCACTTCTCCTCTGTCTTGTTGTTGCCATTGTTTGACTAACTTCCGCCCATCAACATTCCCATTTTCACTGCGGGCGACATTAGCTTCCGTGCGAACAAGAGACAGTGGCGCGACAGCACATACTTTTATCAATCCACGACGGCCCACGCCGCTGCGCAGAAGGAGGCATTGGAGGCATCTTGCCGTTGTTGTTTCCCTTGTCCTTTCAGTTCTTGCACGAAGCAGTGGCTACTCGACGAAGAGCAAATTGGAGAAAGTAAGGTGAGGGTGCAGGTGCAGAAGGTGTGACGATGAGAAGCCCCCATCTTTGCCAATCGGGCCTGGAAGAATTGCCGCCGACCACTGTTGAGGCACGTGATTTGACTTAGCCGTTGGTTTGGGAGACTTTCCACAAGTTCCAAAGCGTCAATCTGAACTGCTAAAGAACCACGAGTCGCATCCTCGTGAACATCAAAAGAGACACTAAACAGACACCAGTCGCCTACAAACAACCACCTGATGGCAGCCGCATTCCTTTGACATACTGTCACGCTTTTCCAATTTCAATTTCGATTCTTTCTTGAACTGCCGGAGCTCAGTCGTCAGCCCAAGTTATTCGGTCAGACCCCTCGCTATCCGGTCCTCTGCACGCGAGCAGCCATTTTCCATCCCGAACTCTGTCTAGATCCCCTGTACGTCCTCGACGCAGTTGACATGGTCCTCTCTTTGCAACGACTTGCCTGAACGTCGTGGCAGAGGCATGTTGGTTGACACAGTATCCCCCTCACAGATTTGATCATCCTGCCGATCGTAAGAGATCCGACACATGAAGGCCAGGTCCAACGACGAATCCCTATTTCCTTCCGCTCCTGTCACTTTACCCTCTCATCTATCGGGGAAACGAAACCTCGCAAGAGTCTAGGACACCTACGCACGCGCCTACGGCTTAACCCCTGTTCTCCTACCTCCCGATGACGACCGCAGTGGCATCGCCTCCAAGCTTTCCGAATATATCCAGGCTCAATTGGAATGGTCTAAGCGGCACAGGAGGAGGGTTTTCTGCAATGAGCACTGACGAAGTGTCTCGAATGTTTTTGCCTCAACGCAAGACTGTACACAGGAGTAATTCGTCCTCGTCGCTCTCATCCACTAGTTCTTCTGGTTCAACGGTCACCCTCACCCAGGGTGATGGCTCATCAGAACCCGCTCATGGACCAAAGAAGAAAACAAGGGGAGGGTTCTGGCCTGTTTCCAAGTCGGAGTCGACCGCGAGTGTCTCCAATGCCCGGGCAAACGGGTCGCTCCAAACGGCTATCGGAAACTCCTTGGTAGGAAAGAGTCCGGTACAGCCAGCACTGCCGAATCAGAGTCCAACAACTCAAGTGAATGGGTCCAGAGTTGTAAATGGAGCGGTCACTGGCGAGCCAGCCGCGATTTTGGCACTGTTACCGATGAATGGCACGTTCGAGAGGAAACAGATCAATCTCCCATTCTATCCAGAAGTCCTTCGCATTGGCCGTCAGACAAATGCAAAAACTGTTCCAACTCCCGTGAACGGATATTTTGACTCCAAGGTGCTGTCGCGACAACATGCCGAGGTATGGGCAGATCGGAGTGGGAAGGTGTTCATCAGAGATGTGAAATCGTCAAATGGCACCTTTGTCAACGGACAGCGACTCTCGCCGGAAAATCGAGAATCTGAGCCCCATGAACTTCGTCAACACGACACACTAGAATTGGGCATAGATATCGTGAGCGAGGATCAAAAGACCATTGTTCACCACAAGGTCTCAGCCAAG